TTACTTTTCACCACTGTGACTTTGCCGATAGACGCTGAAGTTTTTTCTTCTTCTACACAGGCACATGGTAACATTCTTGTGTTTTTCTTGTGTGCCTTAGCAAGTCTCCATAGAGTACATACGTTTTTTTTTTTTTTTTTTTTGAGACGGAGTCTGGCTCTGTGGCCCAGGCTGGAGTGCAGTGAGAGTACATACTTTGAGTTAGGTTTCCCCACAGAGAGTTTTGCAGGGTTTCAGTTCTACCAAGTAGGGCCAGGTGTATTTCTAGAGTCACTGTACCAGTTTACGGTGTCCTCAACATTTGATTTTATGAAGTATTTTATATTTCCCCAATCTATGGGGAGAGTGTGGTTTTACTTTACTTTTTTTTTTTTTAATTAAAAAATTAGAGATGGGGGTTCTCACTATGTTGCCCAGGCTGGAGTGCAGTGGCCACTCATAGGCGTGATCCCACTACTGATCAGCACGGGAGTTTTGACCTGCCCTGTTTCCCACCTGAGCTGGTTCACCCCTCCTTAGGCAACATGGTGGTCCCCTGCTCCCCGATGTCACCATATTGATGCCGAACCTAGTGGGGACACCCAGTTGGCATAGCACACTGCAGCCCAGAACTCCCAGGTTCAGGTGATCCTCCTGCCTCAGCCTACTGAGTAGCCCCTGGGACTACAGGGTTTGCCAGGTCCTATCCTGTGTTCATTTGTTCAAAATTGTGACATTTTTCTTATTAAAAAAATTTTAAAATATGTTCTGTATATTTATGCTTTGTTACATGTTTGCAAATATCTTTCATTCTCTAGCTTGTCTGCTTGCCTTTTAATTTTGTGGTGTGTTGTACAGAATCCTTTCTCTTTTTTTTTTTTTTTGAGGCAGGGTCTTGCTAGGGCTGGAGTGTAGTGACATAATCTTGGCTCACTGCAGCCTCCATCTCCCACTCTAAAGCGATCCTTCTACCTCAGCCACCTGAGGTTTTGCCTGGGACCACAGGCTCACACCACCACGTCGGCTAGTTTTTGTAGAGCTGCGGTTTCACCACGTTACCCAGGCTGGTTTCCTACTCCTGAGCTCAAGCAGTCTGCCCACCTCCGCCTCCCAAAGCACTGAGATTACAGGTGT